ACCGAAAAAAGCGGAAGTTTTTTTCGTTGAGCAAGCAATGTTTTCTCAAGCGTATCCATGGCAAGGTAAAGAGTTGTTTTTTCACCGATGCGGAATCTATTAATATCCACTAATAGCCAAAATATCGAGTTGTAAAAGTAACTATTTTAGGTGTCGTCTTTTGAAAATTGTGCACAAATATTCTTAATATATTGAGGCTTATGAATGCATAAATATTTTTAGATCCTTTACAAGCAAGGGTAAAAACACCCAAATAAGATCTTCCTGAAGCAATAGTTCTTCAAAAATGGTCTATGATCTATCGATCCATACTATCTTTAGCACTCATAACAAATTAAATTCTCGGAAAATCCCACTACTAAATAATGTTCATAGACAAGAACGTTACAACTTCAGGAACCACTTCTTTAATTAGGCATCCACTCTTGTTAATTAGCCCCAGGTATTAAACTGTCAGACTGCATTTTCAGGAAAACGACAAACTAGTGGGGAAAATGAAAGTCACTCACTTCAGCAGTCTCAGTACATCTCACTTTAGAAGTCTTTGCACATCCATAGTTTAATATCAGTTTATGAAACAATTTTTCATTAATTATGACTGCCGAGCGACCTCATCGTGGAATACGATATTTTTCATTTTTAACAATATTACCAATTTCCCCTCTTGTCTATAGTGTAGTGCATGAAAGTTCAAATTATTGAGTGCAGGGTGTAATTAGACGTGTCAACTTGCCTGAAAGGATGAGTTACCTACCTTCTGATGGGGTTTCTATTGATTGTATCATGTTTTTATGTGTTCAAGATCGCTGAAGTCATTCTAGTACTGTAGAATTACTCAGCAGTACTGCAGTTTATACCAACTCTCAAAATAGATTTCATTTATTCTTAGAGATAAGGCACTTGCGTTTGATATCTGTCACCTGCTGATTTATCATCGCTTTTTAGGGAGATTAAAGTGTCTGACAACCAGTTGGGTTGCGTCCTAGTCATTTTCTTTCTACGTCGTGAAGGTTTTCTCGGAATCGGTCACCAAGTCGTCTTCCTGTTTCACCAATGTTATGCAATAGACGACATTGGTGGAGGTGCACGTGAAGTAATCAGTAATCGTAATGGCTCGTTTGGGACACAATATTTTCTCCACGTTATGAATGAAAGAACAAGTTTTGCACCGTGCGCGAGCGCATTTGAAAGTTCCGGGTTGGTCATTAGTTTGTGATGAACTTCTGACCAAAATGTTGCCTATGTTTTCCTCACGTTTAAGTAAGTAAATTGAAGTAATTTAAAGCTTTTAAGATTGATGGATTTTACTAAGTGGTTGTGAGGGTGAAATGTAAAAAAAGAATGGAATGCGATGGGTATTTTCCTCTTGTGACGTTTGTAGTGCTGACTGTCGATCAATTTGTTGGGCGCGGAGGTGCCCACTTAAACGACAGAAATAGGATAGCCACGTTTTTCGAAAAACGGGCTCATTGCCTCTGATTGTTGAAAAAATCCGTTGTCTCTACATAAACGACGAAGTGTAAGAAACTGAGAAAAGAGAATTAAATATTTGTCGGATGCGAAGATGAATATACAACAAGTAACTATGTGAGTACGTAGGTTTGTAGAACACGCCACTACATAAATCGTTGCGTTCGATTGAAACTTTGCTATAAAGTATCTTGATATACTCCCCACCACCGCAGTTTCTTTGCAAACTTACCCTCTATGTAACATATTTGTCATACAGATGAATATTGAGATGCAGTACACTAACCAAGCAAATACCGCAAGCAGTGATACCAATTTTTATATCCTGTGCTAATAGCATCAACACATAACGTCAAATACTCCTCTCTGACATTTAGATGATTGTACTTTGGCACACAGATAGGAACCCACGTGAATCAGAAAGCAGTAAATGAATAATCGTTGACTTTCTTGTTGTATTTTTTCCTGTTTAGAAGCTCTCAATGAAGGTATTGCGAGGCAATAAGAATCACGAATTAAAGCTTTTTTTTTCGTCGCCTTCGTTGGTAATATGATGTCACAGCAGTTTTTGCAGTGTTATTTTAAATCATTCTGGCTGTGCTGTATCTTCTTAAAAAATATAGATTATGACTGAAATAATAATAATAATTAATAATAATAATAATGATAATAATAAAGATACAAAAATAGAAAACACTATGGAAATTATCCACATTATTTTTGTTTTTTTTTTTTTTTGTTTTTCCTAATTTCGCTTTTCTATATTTGTTCTCTTTTGCATGGAACTGTTGATCACAGCCATTATGGAGTTGACATATAGATAATGACCTTATCTAAGGTAAAATACTGCAAATTCTGGGCACCGTGTCTACAAAGTTGAACAATGTTATCTCAAAGAAAACAACACCTCGGTTTTAGTTCGATGATATCAACGATATTCCTTCACCTGATGTTTCGTGAAAAATTTTCACACGCATAACTTTTTTGGCTTAATTTCCACTAGTTATTAGCCATTCAAACATGCAAGCCCAAGTTACTGGTGTACACCTGAACGGTGGGATTTAAGCTACTCCAAAAGTCGGAGATTTCCACTTAGAGATTAAAGTGCCACTACCTACAAGAGAAGGTAACTGTTTGATCTGATCTATCATTTGGCGTTATTCTGTGCATTGGTTGGACTTAACAACGAAATTACCGCAGGTAAACAGGAACCGTTTTTTTCAGCCGACACCTTTGTCAAAGTACATGAGCGAACATTTATAGACAGGCGTGTATCACAGGCTCAAATAATTTCATATAAGTCCCATTTGGTGCTTCATAATCTCGTTCAATATTTGAAATGATGTTTACCAGCAATAACAAACCAATTTTTTTTGTCCAAGTAGGAGATAAAAATTATCGCAAGGCTCGTTTTAAGTGATTTCTTTGTGGCTTTAAAGCATACAGCTATCTATCGAAAAGGTTCAGCTTTCAAATTTTGTGTGTAAAACGTGTTCGAAAATGTTAAGAACACTTTCCAAACTTACAATAACAAAGAACGACTGGCAAATCTTAAATCAAGCTTAATATAACCAAATAAAAACTTATTTATCACAGTTATTAATCTGGATCATTCTTTAAGATCTTTCCTCCATTTATTAAATTTGTCTCACTTTATCTGAAGTTTCCTTTGGTGAGTTAGCTCAAAATAATTGGAATGCTTTCGAACACTGTGGGCAAAGCTGGTTTAATTCGATCATTCCTCCCACTGATATTATGGATAACAGTCGGATTGAGTTATTGAAAGTGAACCTAGCTGCCAGGAATTGAAATTCAATGTTTGCTTCTTTACTATCAAGACAGATCAGATGGCGAATTAAGAGTCAAAACTCTGAAATTATTGTGTAAAATAGAAGCATGAAAGGGTTCACACCAACAGGCGCAGCAAAATCGGCAACCGGCGCCCGACAAAGCATTGCTATACCACGTGCATACAAATTTGACATAACCTTTATAAAAAAGGGAAAATTTGAACGGTTTCTGACACGAAAAAGAGGAGAGCATGATTTTGTCTTCTCTGCAGCTTGTTTGTTTGTTTTACACACAAGGTAAAAGGATTAAATTGCCCTTGCCCAAATTTACCGATAATAACGGGTGGAGTGTTTCTCAATATGTTCTTTGATTATTATCACTGATAAAAGTTAATTGTTATATTGTTCATCGCAATTTGAAATTTTCCCATTGTATCCAGTATAATCGGTTGAGGTGGTAGAAATATCGTCGAGGCACCAAAGGTTGTCTCGGTGTTTTCTACAACTCTAGGCAAAAAAAAAGTTACTAGTCTCAGAAATACTCAACCTAAACACCATTTAAAGATAAACTTCAATAATTTTTTATTTATACCGATAAACTTGACCGCGTCTCGAATGCTACCTCTATTCCAACATACCTTAGACTAATCAACGCTCCAATTTTTTGCTCCCTCATAATTCAATCCGGTCTTGCGAGTAATTTTTGAAAGAGCCTCCTTGCATTGGCGGGATAGTATGAGCATCATAAAGATTAACTGATCACTGCATCAAATTTTCAAAGGAGGTGCACTTACTGAACCATGTTCAACATTTACTCACCCTCAGCGCAACAGTTAAGACGTGAAGCAACAGAAAATCAAACACGGGTTTGTAAAAGAAATTGTGACAAAAAAAAGAATTTGAAAAGTGCAACAATACAGTTACGCTGCCGACAAATAATATTCCTTTGCTTACTCCAGGTTAGCAATGCGGCGCACGAAGACATCGAAATATTCCACGTCCATCCTAACCTACATACTTTCAATTTTAACGCTCCCGTGCAGTTCATCTGAGAAATCGAAGCCATGATGAGAACATTAACTGTCATTAAATCCCATATTACAGAGAGCTACAGGTAATAAGACCCACTTGGGACGAGAACAACTGTATTTCGCAAGCCATTAGATGTTTTATTGGACAAACATTATATTTCAATAATATAGATTCTGTAGATAAAAAGAGAGAGAGATGGTAAGTTCTGAGCTTGGTAAAGAAATAGAGAAGGATGTTTTTCGTCTTGTCACGAGCGTGGGACAAAGAAAAATTTCTGAGTCCTCATGAGGAATCGAACCTCAGACCTTCGGATTCCGCGTTCCGATGCTCTACCACTGAACCAGAGACTTCACGGTAAGCGAGGTCTATTACGAAGTTCTTATGACACGCGTCCTGCATACTGCTAGGATCAGCAATGTCGATAGCGTCATGTTCGTAGAAAGAAATAAGAGAGATGGTATGTTTTGAGCTCGGTAAAGAAATAGAGAAATATGTTTTTCGTCTTGTCACGAGCGTGGGACAAATTAAAAAAAATCGTGACAAGACGAAAAACATCCTTCTCTGTTTACAACACCTTATTTTTAAAGAAAGCGCAGAGCTGAGGACAAGCTTTAGAGTTTCCTAAACTGTAATATATTTATTTGAATTCTGTGGCTTGCAGAATCGATAATATATTCAAATAAACCACTTAATACCACGATTAGTAGCTACATTTATTATAAAATGGTCTTACTTTGACAATTAATTTGGCAAGCATGGAGAGAACGAAAGTTGTTCTTGTTTCCAAAGCAACCACCGTAAATGAACTGGCAGCATTTTCTAGTATACTTGTCGAAAATGTGTCGCTCAAAAGAAGCTCTTCATGGTCCAGGTTTTTCCGGCAGGTGGCAGACTTCCTTCACACTTGATCAATCTCTGTCAGCATTTAAGTCTGCCAAACCAAAATATATAAATAACTGTGCATGTATGAAAATCATACATGTGAGCTGCGGATTAAGAAATGAAATCGCTCTCATACTCTTTTCTTAATTCGCACTTTACAGATATGATTTTCGTATATTTAAAGTCATCTCTTCATTACTTTATAGATTTATTACGGGTTCATTCCTTTTGGGTAGCAGCTTATGATCGTGTAATCACATAAACTTAATTGTCAGACAAATAGTCCAAAAATACCCATTCTGATGGGGGGAAGGGGTGGGTCCTGACCACATGGATCCTCCTCCAGGATATGCAACTCTATCACTTAATGACAAAGAAATCGATCTCACATTGAGGAAAAGATATATGAATGATCAAGAACAATACACAAACTCAAAACTGTATGTTCAGTCTTCACTTACACCATGAATATGATGTAGGCTGGATTTTCATTTGTAACTAACGATTATACATATTCTTAGATTTGTGACGTTTTTAAGATCATTGTTAACTTCATACAGCTGTCGCCCAGAGAAAGCAAAGCTCCAAAGCTAAAATAAATTGATTGTCACGCGAAATGGTTTCCAAAATTGTTGAAATAAACTTCATACTACCATAAGTAGCCACATTTATTATAACATGATCTTACTTGGGCATTTTGTTTGGCAAGCTTGGAGAGAAGGAAAGTTGTTCTTGTTTCCCAGGCAGCCACCGTAAATGAATTTCCGGCATTGTCCGATATTCGCGTCAAAAAAGAACCTTGGAAATGCAGCCCTGCATGGTCCAACCTCTTTGGGCTGACGGCAGGCTTCATTCAAATCTGAACAATCCTTTGCAGCATGTAGATCTACCAAAAAGGAAATGTACATAAATAAAATCCTCCAGCCACCAAAACTGATGGCATCTAATTGCCCTGTGCGGTTTTCTCATATAAGTTAGTGATCAAATAGACCTTGATACCATAAGAAGTGGCTATATATATATCAAGGGAAAAAAAATGAAGGTCTTACTTGAGCATTTCATTCGACAAGCCTGGAGAGAACGAAAGTTGTTCTTGTTTCCTTGGCACCCGCCGTAAATGAACAGGCGGCATTGTCCGGTATTCGTATCAAAAAAGAATCGCGGAAATGCAGCCCTGCATGGTCCTGGCTCTTCGCGAAGACGGCAGACTTCATTCATACTTGAACGATCTTTTTCAGCTTGTACATCTACTATAAGGTGAAAATTGCGAGTTCAGGGTAATCATGTAATATGTAGGGTAAAGTTTGCACTTGAGCCACTAGACGACAGTGACTATGGTCATCGTCATGAGGCTACCATAGGGATCAAGTTAGTGTCCATCCCTTACCCCTTCCCTTGTTCTGTGGTCGGGTGACAGCTAAGTTGTATGTACGAGGTATACTTAACAAGTTTACCAGAGACATCTTACAAATTACACTTGATTACGATGATTATACCAAGATTTTGACTATTTGATCAGTTGAGGGCGATCATTAAGTGGCGAATCTTTACAGGAGGGAGCACTTTCCTATCACCCCTTGTGGACGACAACAACGGAGATGAAGAAGTTAGGCACAACGGTTATTACCCGCTGATAATCAATCAGTACGTTCCTCTGATTTTATTTAATATTTTATGATAAATTTATTTTCCTTGTAGACTTCTCTCAGTTAATTCAGAACTTCCATTACAAGGAAGCCCAGAAAATTATAAACTTTAGAGTTACCCACACAGTAAAGTTTTGTTTAAAACTATGGTTGACAGGATCAGTAAGCCCCGGCAAAGATCCAAAGAAGCGCTCAAATGAATTTTGATACCATAATTAGTAGCTACATGGTCTTACCTGGACATTTCATTTGGCAAGCTTGGAGAGAACAAAAGTTGTTCTTGTTTCCTAAGCAACCACCGTAAATAAACGGCTTGCATTTTCTAGTATTCGCGTCATAAAAGTATCGCACAGAAGCATCCCAGCATGGTCCACGCTTTTTGGGCAGACGGCAGACTTCCTCCAAACGTGAGTAATCTTTTTCAGCTTGCAAATCTACCAAAATGAAAAAGGTGCATGTTGAGGGTAATCGTGTAGTATATAATGCATAGGGTTAATCATGGCCGAGCGGCCCGTCCAGCTGACAGTTATTCTGGTTTCGGACAACATTAGGATACTAGCAGTCGAGTTTGTGTCTATCAGGCTCCACTTCTGTTGTCGAATGGATGGGATGGCTGTTAGATCGTATGTAAAAGGTATAAAACTGGTTTTAAAAAAAGCTATAAACGAGAAACTAGAGGAATCTTTCAAATTACATCGATCTCAGTCAGAGATTCACCAATTTTCTCCATCGAGTGACGCTGAGTGAAAATCACGACTGATATGATCAGGGCTAATGCAGACAACTACCCCATTATTTAAAAGAGGTCTTGGAAAATAACGAAAGCAGTAATATCTACCTGTGAAAAAGAATACTAGGAACATGTATGCTGCAATAAATCCAGCCAGTTTCATCTTGCTCGTGGACTCTTTTAGGATTGACGATGACTTGCGATGCTTGATATGTGACTCGCAGCTAAGAAGAGAAATTAGCTTATATCACTCCTGACGGCTAGGCCGACAGCGGCGTTAATCAAGGTCATCAATGGAAAGGTTACCACTTTATCTGTTTATGGTGACGATGTTTTAGTCAGCTTAGTTCGCACGAAAAGTTACTTCTGACCGAAAAATACTTCCTTTGATCAGGAGGTCACTGTTGTGACGTGATAGAGTGGGTGAACTTATGACTACTAAACAAACATGATCAGATTCTATTTTGGCTCAAAACGCGTGACTTTTATGACCTGCCGCATAATGGGGGGTATTAAGTGCATAAGACCCTGCAAGAGGATCAAAGTAATTAACAATGTTTTAAATCTGGTATGGAAAGCATCTTAATGGGCTAAATTGCATTGTTTGGGCAAGAAACGTGAATGAAAGGTGTCTCTTGAGGGTGACGTGGAGTTAGAGAAATCAGGAAAAGAATTTAAGAATTTACGTGTTCAAAGTGAAAGGTGCTATTATCAAATCTTCAAGTGAGCGTAAGGCTCGATATGTGACACACAAGAACCGATGAAATGAGCAAGTTGTGAAAACTCTATCAGAACTTGTGTCTTACAAAAAGGATTTCTCAGATCCAATTGCCTCTCATAGTTTGACTCACTATTTAACGTTCAATCTAACGCATTGGAATTACTAAACTATTCTTGATTTTCGATGAATAAAGCGTGCTCTGATTGCGTGGTCTGGTGAGTATTGACGTGTGCTTAAAACATGCTTTAGCCGATTAAGGATATAGGTTATTTAAAGTTCGGCCTCCTACCAGGTTAAAATGCTGCCAAAAAATAATCAGATAACAAATTCATTCCCTATTGCAAAGGGGAAACGTCAAAGAACCAGCTAAATCTTGAATATTCCACCAACTGCCGCTGCTTGACAACATTGTTGTGGTAGAAAGGTATGAAACAAATAAAAACAAAACAGAGCAAAACAAAAAATTTTATCACAGGCTATCAAATGCCTTTAAAAGGACCTTATCACGGTCAAGCCTCGAAACAAACATGTAATTACCTTTTTCGATGTTACTTGTCAACTGTCTGGCGATGTAAGGTCCGGCTGAACCCTCCATTTCATCAACTTTTTTTGTTTTTTGTTTTAAACCTAAAGTTCGGTAAGATTTTGTTGGGTATATAAGCATGAAAAATATAAGAAAGCTCTTCAAGTAAAAGTAAGCTGTTCAACATAGACGAAAGCTCTTTCTACTCTCGAACCCGAATGAGTTTAGCTGTATCCATCTCTTTCACAACGTCATTTAATATCCATGCTTTCGTATTTTCCCTTCAAAGAAAAAAAATTGGCAAAAAATGGCATCCGTACAAAATATTCTCCAATGAAGTTTAGTGTACGTTCTGACATTGTAAAGTTTGTTATATTTCTGTTGCAAACTCGTTGGCGAAATAGCTCAGCGTTTTCCAGTTGCAGAGGAAAGGTATGCAAAGGGAAAGTATTTACCGCCGTGTATTTACATTTCTCTTAATTTAATGGAAAGTTTTGGGTTGATGGAAGAAATCATTGAATATTAACCAAATGTCAACTTACTGAATTTGTAATGAAACAGCTTTGGAAAGGTTTCATCACATAATTTAAGATAAAAATAATAACTGAACCATAAGTCTTGCCCAAAATGAACGAAAATAGCCAAAGTCTTTTCCTGTTTCCTCCTTTTTTCCCAAGGACTTAGTAAAAACTAGACGTATATGTGCGTTCACCTGGGCTTTCTTTGTAAATAAACTTTGTTTTTTTCTGCTTGCATTTGCCTAAGTTTTTTTTTAATGCAATTATTGGTTTATCCTTTCTGCTCTTGTTCCTTAGCCTTTTCAAACTTCGTACTGGTATTCTGCTTGGTTCACAATCACGTCTACATGCACGATGAGATTTGCGTCTATGCTTCTCTCGATTAACATTAGATAGCTCAGTTGATATAGCATGTTTCTCGATGAAGGGTTCACTCATAAATGTTCGCTCATAAAGAGATCTCTCATAAGGTTCGCGGACCGACCCGTTCCGAAAACGCTCGACATCTCTTAGAGTGGGTCTACCGCGAATGATGTGTGCATATTTTGTACGCGTTTTTAGCGTATTATACGCAGTGTCTGTGCTGATTTTGCACCGCGAAAGCTTCTCTCCGTCTGCCATTACACCATGCCACGTGCTCATTAGTCAAAACGTCGCCCATACGTCAAAGTCAAAGGTTACGCATGCGTGATTTGGACTTGACTGCGATTTGCGACCGAACGAAAAAAAATCCAAGCCGGAATTTCAACTTGGGCGTTTCCTTTGGGAAGCCGGAGTAATTACAGCCCACACACAAAAATTCATAAACCACACTCGCACGTAAATCTGTCAGACAATTTTCAGCCATGTTGCAATATGTTTTCACAATGATTTTAGTCCCTTAAGTCACGTTTCCAGCAGTTTCCAACGTAAGAACAAATAATCTTTACTTTTGAATGAGAGCAACCCAATTTTTAAATCATCAACTGTTACCAGCTGTTAATTTAAAAACTTTCTATCTGACACAGTTTCGTTTTGACCCCGTTTGTGCTTGTATCAATTTGCGGTTGTGTAACACTATTCAACTCTGTATTTTTTTTTTGGTTTGAACTGAAGAGGATAGAAGAACTATGGAAATATATGTTTTTCAAAATAAAAATGTTGAGCCAATAATAAATTGAAATGACCGTTTAAGTACCTTGATTTCCTATCAGATCTGTCGTAAGTTTTTTTCAAAGCTTCATCTGACCCTCATAATCATTACTAAAAATAACGTGGGATTACGTGATCTTACCAAAACCACTCTAAAAAGACACTGAAGTCTGCCTGTTAGGAAAAATGAAACAGTTTGAGGTGCATCTTTGTAGTTCACTTAGAAACTGCGTATCTACAGCTGTCTCCGGGTAAATCTTGTGACAAAAAAATCTTTCCTTAAACAATATACATAAAGCTGGAGGGAATTCTCAGACTTCATCATTTTCTTTCACAAGGTGGATAATTTTTGTTTTAATTGGTACTACATCATGACTGCACGACTATCGCTAATCGTAGAATCGAAATTTTAGAGACTTAAAGCAAACCACGATGGCAAAGTCAACGACAACTAGGCAATTAAAACGAAAGATCTCAGTTATGTGCAGATCAATAGTTGAACACGCTCGTTTAACAACTTTTTACATTTCTCAGCCGGCTTCTGAAAAACAAAACTGAAATCACAAAAGTTTGTGTGGTCTGAAAACAAAAAACCCCGATGGCAAATTATTCATTTGGAACTCAAGGCTACTGAGTTTCGCAATTTGTTACAACAAAGGTATGCTCTTGATTACGGCAACGAAGTTAATTCTGATTGCTTTCTGCCAAGATATTTATATTTTTTTGGAATCAAGAATAGAAACCTAAATGACTCCAGCCTTAATCCAAACGCTCCTTTTTAATTTCCTCTTAAATCTTTATTTAATCAATTGCAACGTAAGAGGCCAGAACCCTGCAAAACATCATGCATTTCCCGCGCAAAAATTGGTTATGTGAAGGTTTCATCCATGAAGTTTGGAAGCGAAAACAAGCATGGGATGGTAAAGACCTATCCAAGTATACTGCTATATCTATTTTTTCCATTTTTTTTTAATTAAATAAGATAGCACAGTATTAAATTATACTAGAATTAGAAATTATTTCAAAAACAGCTTTATCTTTTATTTGACTTTTAGCAATCCTGTAATATATTGGCTCTTTCCCTCTCATAATTCCTATATATGCTATTTTACCTTATCGTTAGGTATAATGATATAGATATTATATAATTAGTTATAACGAGTAAGATTTCCCGAGTAATGTTTTTAATTGCATATTCATGTTTCATCGCATATCTCGTCATTTTCTTTGTGAATTTCTACTTGTGCAAATTTCCAAGAGTTAATACAAGGAAGTGTTTTTAGAACATTATTGTGATGTTATGTTATTTCATATAAGCCAGTTTTTCGTAACCGAGCATATGCATAAGATCACCACAATTATCTTCGACAACTTTGATTAAATTCATAGGAGCGTTTTTCCAGTTATCTATAACTTCTGAGACATTTCTGTAGAGCGAGTAAGGGCCTTGTTGTTCAGCATCCCTCGGTGGTCTATTGTGATCATTTATCCACTCTTCAACGCTTGCCGACCACTCAAATCGCGCAAATTTGTACAGCTCCTGTGATATTATGATGGCATTGTTTATAAGGTCTTCGTAACGAATGACTTTAAAACGACCTCTAAGCCAGGAAGGGGGAGTAGACAAACCAAATCGTAAGTTGTTGACTGTTCTATTACACATTCTACCAACATACAATGAGAAATCTTTACTTAAATATGTCTCATTTAACCATTTAACTGACTGAACCACGGAGTAAATTATAGCCCTAGGATCACGAACCAAGTGAAGCAACCTCACGTCATGGCTTTCCCGCCGTACAAGAAGCTTCTGTAAATTTGCTATGCTATCGTTCGGTACACGACCAATCAAAATTTTTACAACGGTATGATTATGAGCGTTACAAATATTTTTAAGCATCGCATGTGAGAGGGGCAGACAACTCGACGAACGGTTAAGATGTGCTAATGCTGGGGGACACAAGAATCGACTTGCAAGTGCTGAACTGGCCCAACGTGAGTCATCCTTGGAATACTCGGCTATTGTATTATTGTTAAGGACTGTGAAATCACATTTAAAAGTGCTTTCGATTACATTGATACAATCATTCTTATAACTAAGTATTTGTTTGTCACTCGACAGATTGTCGTGAAATAAGTTCTTCTGCACAACGCGTAATGGCTCAAACCAATACATGATCTTTGAATTACTGTCGAATAATTTTCCGAGAAAAGATGATCCTGATCTGGGAGGACTTAAAATAATCAAATTTCTCCTGGGAGTTCGCGTCAGAGTTCCTGCATGTTTCTCATCTGTCTTTCCGTCGATCCGTGATTCAGTGATTTTCCTAAGCAATGCTGATTCGTGTTCTTTGCCATTGGACTGAAGATCTTGTCTATTTTCTGCTTTTGTGATTTCATCTTTTCGTTCAAGCTCACGTTCGCCGTTTATATTGAAATCTTGGTCTATCGGGATCTTCTGTGTAAGAACTGAGTACAGCGGTTTTCTTGGTAACATGGCTGCCAAGCAGTAAAAAGCATAGATAGAAAAGGCAGCGAAAGAAGTAAATAGAAACAATCGTACATAATACTTCATAATTGACTGCGCTCTGGCTCTAAGAAGACAAAAAAAGGACAAGCAATGTTTAACATAACCCAAGTGTAACAAACTAACTGTTAAACTATACAACTGATAACGTGTCTACGCAGCTACAAATGACAAAAAAAATTGAAATTTTTACGGCCGAATTTTACAAGCAATTTGCTCAAACCAATTGTGTACAAAAAAAATTAAAATACTGTTCTACCACACAATGAAGTTAAGAGTTTGAGGAATTATTGACCAGAAATCAATCTAAATTCATGCGTACTCATTGAAACAGCTAGACACAATGGTATAAGGGATTCATCTTCACACAATGAAGTTAAGAGTTTGAGGAATTATTGACCAGAAGTCAATCTAAATTCATGTGTACTCATTGAAACAGCTGGACACAATGGTATAAGGGGTTCATCTTCCTTAGCCAGGGTTTAAAATCGACATCGCTTTCTCTGATCAGATTCGGAATTTTTTCTTCTGATAGACCGAAAAAACGAGTGTCATAAACTGTATTTATTTTCGGATATATCTCCTGTGGGATACATTTGGGAGTATCTATAACGAGAGGTATTTAAATAATCAGCCAATAAAAATCTATCTGCAACAAGGGAAACCCTGAATGTATGTCTTTCAGTTACCACTGAACATAAAGCTGAACTGAAATGTTGACTGTGAACGCGGAAAGTATTTATATTTGTTTGTTAATTTAGTAAACTAGGATCGACGCTTGCCCTGATTTAAACTTGAAGGTTACCTCGAATTGACATTGTCATGAAAATATCAGTCGATGATAAAAGCCCGGAATAGACAGTTGTCTTCACAGGTCATGTCTGATATCTTTTACGCAATATTTTTTTGACTCAAGAGTGGATACTTAACTTAAGATGACATAATGATTTTCACTCTGTTTCCCAATCACGAACCTACCTTTATCATTAATGGTAAATTTGTCTGTTATCCATCCACGGTTTCTACGCATTAACTACGATAAACGAAGCCGAAAACTGGATGGGCATACCGTCTATAAATGACTAGAAATGCTCTAAAACACATCTCATGGTCATATATTGTATCCAAAGTGCATAGCACTTAAAATTTTTTCGAGACCATCCAAAGTTGCTATAGAAACTATCTCAAGTCATAAAAGATACAATCCTCTCCTGTCTCACTTCTTAGAATAGTTTATGCCCTGAATAATGTTTTACGAATTATGTTTCGGGAGCCCTTGTCGTAAGAAGTTATAGCATCTACCGGTTGAAAAGGAACTCACGTCTATGAAGATAGAATATGTAATTTTTGACACTTAAAATACACCCTACATTGCCACAGTTGAAGCAGCACAATCTAATTACAAGTATTATAAAACTAAGAAGTGAATCGGTGAATACTTCAACTGGTAATACATTAAACCTCTTGTTCTTCTTGCAGAAAGCGATGAAACGGCTGAATTAAAAAAAAAGTGGAAGTGATACAAAATAATTAGTATTGAAAATGCTGATTTTTTTTGTGCTTTTCAGAAGAGCTGAAAAGTGTTCTCGTGGTGGCACTCTGAATAAGTAAATCGTGCAATAATTATTTGTCGACATTGTTACCCTGGAAATGTGCTACACTTCAGAATAATTCCTTTCTCGACAAACTTGGTATTGTTCATCCTGACACACTCCTTTGTTTTTCTAATCGTGCCATATAAACAAATGGAAAATCGCTCAGAAGCGGCCGTGTCATTTAACTCTGTGCCTGCTGTTTGGCATGTCATTTTATTATGTCCGTGCGCTTATCTTGCCATTCGTTTTCCCGCGGAGGGTCAAATAAACATACCGGGATTTACCTAGTGGAAATTAGGTGCCAAATTATCATCTAAAAACTGGTATATGTGGTAGAAAACCAATCTATAACAAATGGCTCGTATCGCACTATCACGTGTGGAGGAACCGTGAACCGTGTTAAGGGTTCTCTTTCAAGTTTCTCTGGTGTTTGTGCTGCCTACTAATATAATTTCTAAGTTGGTTTTACGATTTCCCCACGATAAAGATTCTCCTCTTGGAGCTCAGAATAAAAATTAGATGAGGTAAATAATGCTCAAACTTCGAAAAAGTAGGTATGAAGGTCTTTCCTGAAAGCACCAGTACGCAATCTTCGATATAAATGAGTGACTGAAAACTACTAGATGACAGAAGTATAATTGTTACCATTTCAACAAGAAGAAAGACAAGATGAGGCAACCCTGGGCTTAAATATTCATCTTTAGCGATACACAAAAACACGTGCGAATAACCTGATGTCATCTCTTGCACTTCTCGATTCGATATCTTTCAGATATGTCTTTCATTAAACAGATAACCTCAGTTTCTCTGCAATAATCTCTAGATTGAACCTTCCTCAGCTCAAAATATCAACATCATCAGGTCTATTTCAACGACTTATGTTTCTTTATCAAATCTTTAACACAATTCCCAGAAAATCACAATTGCCCTTTATTTCTCCCATGTAAAATTTTGTTCGTAGATAAAAAATCTACTGGTCAAAAATGTTATGGCAGCGGTGGGATTCGAACCCACGCCTCCAAAGAGACTGGTGCCTAAAACCAGCGCCTTAGACCACTCGGCCACGCTACCTTCAACATATAGCACTTTCTTGGCATGTCTGTCACATTCACCGACACTGATCATGAGGTGAATAGTTGTTTGGGTGAAGCATATCAAGAAACCTAAAAAATTAGTTTATTTCTGCAAATACACCCAAAAATGGTCGGGCATTAAACTTTTGACGTGTATTTAGTACTTGCCAATCACTTCAAAACTAGCCAATCAGCACGCACCAACAGCACTTTTAACCTGCATGGTATATACTTATAAGCTTTATAATGTTGGAATTTTCTTTTCTTCAATCGCTCTTAGAAAAGGCAATTTGCTGAATAACTTGCGATAAAACAAAACTAAATGATTAAACAAAAATATAAGGAGACGAGCATCATATTCCACCATCTTGAAAATGTGAAGGTGAACCTTTATACATGTAAATTTCCCTACTTTCTACCGAGGAGGAAGCCTTCAGCCTCATTACTTGATTGGACTTCCTTTGCACTCAGAAAAAAATCCTGGCAGCGGTGGGATTCGAACCCACGCCTCCGTGGAGACTGGTGCCTTAAACCAGCGCCTTAGACCGCTCGGCCACGCTACCCTTAACATATATATATATTTCCTAGTGAATAATGTTAACGAAATCGCTATTATAATTCATTGAATATTACTACTGGCAGGCGATTGGTCTAAACGCGTTACGTGACTGAATATTTCCCGACTAAAACTTGGGAATACCCCATGAGACATTCTAGGTGATATTCCCTAATTTTTAAACCTTAAGTCCAATACGACAAGTCTTCGTTTAAATTTTAATTCAAGACGAGAGAGCGCTTGGTGATTGTTACTGGAGACGGGACTCGTTTGTTCGTTCATAAGGTCGTATTAGAGAACACTGAAGAGTGAACATCCCACGCAGCAAACGGTAAGCTGTTCGTTAACATTTTTGACGTCGCGCTGCAAAACATTTGAAGGATAATAAACACAATAGCCTCCATTTGGACATTATCTGTTCCTCGAAGCTAACAGTTTGCATCTTGGAACAGATAATGTCCGCGCACTAATATCGGGGCATGTTTTCGCGCCAAATAGAGGTCATTGTTTGTATAGGTAAACTGCGCACACTTTAGGCAGGGAAGCATTTACGATTTCATGATATGGGAAAATAACTCATGTTCTGTTTGGCAGTGCAATCTAGGACCCTCCCAGTCAACTGAGAACTTTTGGAACGATTCCCTTGGTCGGTGTCACCCCGTGCCGCACCATCCTATAACCTTTGAAATGCACACCGCCTGCTTCCGATTGAAGACAAATAGTGACACGCTGAGATCGTATAACAATTAAGTTTAGATGAAGAAGATAAGTCGCACGTCACTTTAGCAACGGAAAAAGATCACAGAGCGTTGAAAACGAGCGCTGCTTAGTGGTGTAGATGAAACCTTAAATTTCAAAGAGTTTAAACTATTTTCTTGGGATTGTGAAGCTTCGAATTTAGTCGGTCACACTTCTTTAATTCCTGGGACGGATCCAGGGGTGGTTCGGATGGTTCGGTCTAACCCCCTAAACTGAAAGAAAAAACATTCTAACTCGTGCGGTTTCTGAGGAAAAAACATAAGTGAACGAAAAAACATCATCATCAGGTGGAGCTTGCTCGGTATTCCATGACACCCTCCTTCCACCTTTCCATTGTAATTAGTAGTTCTTCAAGTCTGCATCCTGTGTCATCCATCAATTGGTCAATATAGGTCTTTTTTGGGCGTTCTCTCGGCTGATGTCCATGTGTTGGCTTCCAGAGTAATACATCCCCTGCTAGTTCTTCTTTACTGCGCCAACAATGCCCTGCGAATCTCATCCTTTGTTGCTGTAGCGATTTACTGATTGGCGGAATGTGGCCGTAGAGCTCTTCGTTTGCGGGGTGGTCCTTCCACGATCTGTTTAAGGCAAAGCGTAGCATTCTAGCGTATGCTCCGTCGATTTTCTTTACCAGATGTGTTGTTAAGGTTTAGGAGACTGAACCATATAAAAGGACGGTCTCCACTGCTGCTCGAAAGAAGTTTCTTTTCAGGTTGTCTGGAAGGTTTGATTTCCATATCTTGTCCAGTTGATGTAGAGGATCGCACGCCTTTCCTAGTCTGATGTTAACATCATGTTCGGTAGAGGTGATATAGCTTCCCAGGTATTTAAAATTGCTAGTCTAAAATTCATTTTGTATAAGCGGTTCTCTTTTTATTTGTCTACTTGGTAAAATAACAGGTTCGTTATTCCCTCTACTAGTGCCCAAAGTGGTCATTTTCGGAAATTACTTAAATAGGGTTCCACTCTTCGTTTGTCAGTGAGCTTATCAACGTGCAATAATCTGTGATTAGTTAATAATTATACATCTATAATTAGTTATAAAGTCGAGATACACAAGCCCTATTGCGTAAATTACTGTACAACATCATTTGTACAAGTTATTTATACACAGAACAAAACTATATTTGTACGAGTAATTCTACGTCGTAAATGTTGCATAAGATTTATTGTATAAGTGAGAGAATTGTTGCAATAAATCTTTCTTGAAACTGAAAGAGTTACAGTATTCAAGTGTACTATCAAGTTAAGAATTGCCAGCCGCGCTCAATTGAGAATTACTTTTCCCAAAGGAGTCAGTGTTCGATTTGAAGTCGGTCGAGTTATGTCCAAAAGGGGGAAGCAATAGGAAATTTGTCATACGTCTTTAGGAACGTAAGCATGCTAGTCGTGAATTTAGTGTGGAGATCAGTTCAGTGCTGGGAACGGAACCAGGCGCTCTAATAACGGCGTCAAGACAACAACATGGGGTAAATGCACCCCATGACACACCTGAGGAATATTACCGCCGCGATCTGTTCATTCCGGCCATTCCTAGACCGTATCACATAAGAAATGTATTCAAGGTAATCTATATAAATTATCAAACGCTCGACTGTTTAATTACTTAACCTTAAATATTTAAAGATATAATGAATGATTGAACAAACAAGCTCATTTATCACAGGGATTTTTTTTCAGATTTGGGTCCACTCGGAGGATTGCTTGGTCTTGTGCTAAGCGCCATTGTAGCGGGCACAGATGTAGACATAGCTGAAGTCTCCTAGATGTATATGTCAGACTTCCCAAGCCCACAACCTCTCGACATTGAATACGGATCTTTGGATGAGAACTGGCAATCCGAGACGGACAAACGAGACGCGCTTCAACCTGCCTTCAGGTTCGAAGTAACTCAAATTGTTTTTATTCAAATTTCCCTTAGGATAACAAATGACGGCTCTATTGATTACACTTTCTGTCTATCTACAGGCTTGTGATCCCGACATCTTTCCGAACATGTTGTTGTTGCTGTTGTTGCGAATTGCATGTACAATTCCAGTAACATCAGCTGATAACGAACGCTCAAACAGCACTTTAAAACAAGTCAAGGGCTACCTACGGACCACGATGACAACCGAGAGACTCTTTGGCCTAGCTTTAAGGAGTATTTATTAAGAAAAGCCAGTCGATTACGATGCTATAGTTCAGAAATTTGCCGAACAACAACCTCGTAGAATATTACTCGTTGATCCCATTTTTGAGGAATCTTAAGCGTGACCTTTTAAAACACATTAAGTAGCGAAGACAAATGCATTACAGTGATTTTAGTTTAATTTTCTGGGAGTCGGTTGATCTGGCGGCCAATTTGTTCGAAATATTTATTATTTGCAGTTAAACGTGATCATAAAAGAGACACCCGAAAGCATGATGGGAAGTTATACGTGTTGATTAATTTACCCGCGATCATTCGCATCTAGAAGGCAAGCTTAAGACTTCGAAATCAACGATGCTCTCCCCAACAGCTGGTACTTCATTTCGTGGTTGTCGTCTCTCCTTGTTCGATCTTCTTAAATATCTGCTATCCCATTTGGGTGGTAAGATTGTTTTGTTATTATTTATTCCTACTTTTATTCCACTTAGATTTAGTTCTCGGTGCCATGTTTCTTTTAATTTAAGTATTGGGAATTAACAAGAATTCTTAGTTTTTTGAAAGGGAATTTTTCGTTTAATGAGTTTATTGTAGCAATTTGTCCTTTCGCATCTGATTTTTCGTTCTCCTTCTCTAGCCTCTTTTCGTTTATACTCGTTTCGGCTATATTGTTTAACACTGCCCAAACATCAATACCCCAACATCTGGGTTCCTTCAAAAACAAATTTTCGTCGTAGAGTCGATGCACTTTCCGACTCTTGCATACAGTAAAATCTCTCCATGATTATATTTTTGCAAAAAAGAACGAGAATGTTCTGTCAGGGAACCTGTTCTAAAGTGGTACGTGCTATAGTCCGACATCATAAGGATGTCAGATTCAAATAAATTATGTACGCTGAAGCTCTGAATCCTTCTTTTCCACTCTACTGCAAATACAGAACCACCAGCATGTCACTTAAGGTGACGTGCAAACAAACATTTCAAATTATTTTGGGAACGGTAAATGAAATTGCAGGAAAACTTTAGACACAAAGACGTCTGTCTCAGTGGGAGCAAATATTTTTTAATTTCTAATACGTAGGCTACCTAGCAATGATCCTATCAAAAATATTACGAAACGTCTTCAGCAGTTGAAGTGATAGCTCAACGATGCTTTTATTTTTATACATCTTCTGTGGTACATAGAGGCTCGATTCTGGTGTCTGTGCCGCTCAAGTGTAATCAGAGGAAAAAATTACTTTCGATATTAAAAAATATTGTGCTCTATTTATTCAAGACACCCTGTATTTTATCGAAGTATAATAAAACATTTATGATTACGCAGCAAGGCGCGTAGTCCTCTGGGCCATGTTTCTTCCATTTTAAGTATTGGGAATTAACAATAAGCGTTCTTAGTTTTTTGAAGGGGAATTTTCGTTTAACGTGTCTATCGTAGCAATTTGTCCTTTCGCATCTGTTTTTTCGTTCTCCTTCTTTAGCCTCTTTTCGTTTATACTCGTTTCGACTATATTGTTTAACACTGCCCAAGCATCAAAATCCAGCATCTGGGTTCCTTGAAGAATAAATTTTTAGTCGTAAAGTCGATGCACTTTCCGACTCTTGCAAAGAGTAAAATCTCTCTATGATTATATTTTTGCCAAAAAAAGACGAGAATGTTTTGTGGAACTTGTCGTAAAGTGCTACCTGCTACAATCTGACATTCCGAGGGTGTCAGACTTAATAATTTATAATAATAAATTGTGTTCATTGAAGCTCTGGATCCTTCTTTTTCCACTCTATTGCAAATACAGAACTACCAGCATGTCACCTTGGGCGACATGAAAGCAAAAATTTAAAGTTGTATCGTGATAGGTAAATGAAATTGCAGAGAAACTCATTAAGCCTGTTTAAATTGAGACACAACGACGTCTGTCTCACTTGGGCGCAAATGTTATTCACCTCTAATACTTAGTCTAGATTTGAATAATGGATAACGATCCTACTAAAAACATTATGAAACCTCTTCAGCAGTTAATATGACTGCTCAACGCTGCTCTTATTTTATATATCTTCAGTGGTACAGAGATGCATATATTGAAAGATTTTTTTTGTTCGAGAGTTTTGCGGCTTTCCGAACTGCCTAGATGTTGGGAAAAGCCGCAAACTGCCATATGCTGCCATCCATCATTCTTGGTTTGTTTTTTTTTTTTTTTCTTCTTCTTCTTTGAACGCTAGGCTGTATATGCTCGCTTTATCCGCAATTTCACTTTTAATTGTTCCCGTTTGGAGTAATGGCCTCTGTCGTATGGACTTGGTGAATCAGTTTATAATTTGGTCTAAGGAAAATGGTATGATTTGTAATCCGTCGAAATGTAAAGAAATTATTTTTCGCAAGAAAGGTTTTATTCAGGATATTGCGCAAGTTAATAACATTCCGCAATGCACGAAGCCGCCCATTTTAGGTGTTACGTTACAAGAGAATTGTAAATATAGCGAACAAGTACGTGCAAAGTTGATTAAGGCAAATAGGTGTTTGTTTGTACTAAGATCTTTACGGAAGGAAGGTTTCAGTCAAGATGAAGTAGACCACCTAATTAGCGCCTTAGTTTTACCAAACTTCACTTATGGTCTGCCTGTTTATGGCGCTATAGACTCAGATCTCACGGTCATACAAAACTTCATGGACAGATGCTTCAAAAGGAAATACACATCTAAGAGAATAGACATTCGAGAACTTTTAGAAAAGGCAGATAAGAAGATTTTCAAGGTACGTTCAGTGGATCCCGATTGCGCGCTTAGTCACATCATTCCGAAGAAGAAAGAAACAAAGGACCAACTCAGAAACAGAAGTGCTCGTCGCCCAGATATAAAGACTGACAGATTTAAGAATGTTTTTGTAAATAGGCTTATCTTTAAATATAATTTTTGATCTTTTTATTATTTCATATAGTATGTTTTATGTATATATATACAGTATGTCTTATGTATTTTCAGATTCCTAACTGCTGATGTAACTTTTTATCTTAGGAGGAATAAAAATTGATTGATTGATTGATTGATTGATTAACGACAAAAAAGTTAGAGAGAGGTTCGGGAAATGGTTGGACATTGTACAAATTGGCAGATAGCGTGACAGCTTTAGCTTAGCTCCGTCTTCTGTACTCCGATAAAACACGCTCTTTCAATCAATGACACGCGCGCGTTATATCCGAACTTTATAATAATATGATGTGGTCTAACAATGAAAATATCATTAAAGAAATGCCCGTTGGCACGACAGGAAGTTATACGTGTTGATTAATTTACCTAAGATCATCCGCATCCAGAAGGCAAGCTAGACAACGCTAGTCCTAACAGCCGGTACTTCATTTCGTGGTTTCCGTCTCTTGTTCGATCTTCCTAAATATCTGCTTTTCCATTTGGGTAGTAAGATTATTTCGTTATTATTTATTCTTACTTTTATTCCACTTACTTTTTAGATTAGCTCTCGGTGCCATGTTTCTTATATTTAAGAATTGGGGATCAGAATTCTTCTTAGTTTTTTGAAGGGGAATTTTTCGTTTAATGAGTTTATCATAGCAATTTGTCCTTTCGCATTTGATTTTTCGTTCTCCTTCTCCAGACTCTTTTCGTTTGTACTCGTTTCGGCTATATTGCTTAACATTTCACTTTCATTGTCATAGACGTTGAAACTGGTCTAGTGGAAAAAAAGCCCAAGTAGAAACATATCTTTAAAAAGTTGTCTCTAGTTTCTCAAAGGAATATTATAGTCATTAGTATTTCATACCGCAGGGGGGTAAATAGCGCTTTGCACGCTTTGCACGCGTCTTGATTGATTAGTTTGTACCATTTTTCGGTGTATTAACCGGAATTAATAGATATTTTGCTTTCAATGTGTTATACACAAAAACGATCATTTACCTCTGTGTCGGTGAAAGTCGTGGATACTTACCGAGCCACTACGCAGCTCAATAATATCCACTCCTATTCACCTCTTTATTTGATATTGGTAATGTAAGCGCTGATCAAGATGGCAGCCGTTTATGTTCGTACTTGCCGCTTTATTTCGCTTCTGAACTTGTTTTATATCTTACAATTCTTACAATGGTATGGCTACCTAAAGGCCTCTGCCATCCAATATTGACCAAGTTCAACGCAAAGACATCTTTTATCAAGAATAACCAAGAACTAAAGTTTCCGAAGCGGCCTATTTCAGTTTGGTACAAACATGGTCCGACCTGTTTGGTTTTACCAAAAGATTTAACTGTCCACATGGATGTTGAGCTAAATCCTGGTCCCTTGCAGAAGAAACCAATTTATCTGCTAACCTGCCTACCTACGGTTTCTGGCCTGGTCTCGTATCCAGGTAATAAACTGTTGTCTACGAATAATGCTGACACCCGCCAGGTTGGAATTTGTGGTTCCTACTATTCAGACGTCTTTCATCGATTTTCTTACTGGCCTTGTTCTTCGCCATTATCATCGACCTACAGGAGATGCCGCGCTGGCCGTCGAGTCAGAGAAAGGAAAGCTAGAAATATTCACAGAATTGAATCCCTGGTTTCGTATCCACGCGCTAGCCGAGGAAGCGATAATTTGCATAAAGGATCCATTTCACATAACCTCTGCGTCATCACACCTGTGAACACAAACAATAACGTATCCTCTAATGTTACTTCGACGAACTCCTCATTTCATGCAAATTCGCTCGTTAATCCGCGTTCAATTCTAAACTTTGCGGACTTCAATTCAAGATCTGTTAGGAATAAGATCGAGACGTCGACGACGTCGTTGAAAATGACAACGGCCTCTGCACCGTTACCGAGACCTGGTTGAATGACGCTGACTTCGTCAGTATTGCTCAGTTATCTGTGGCTGGCTATTCCTTCAAGAATTTTCCTAGAAAATGGCGGTACCGGGATTCTGTTTCGAGACTCTCTCAAAGTCTCATTAGTGGATGGGAAGAAATACAATCCTTTGAATTTTCAGAGTGGACTGTTAAAATACACGATCGCTCTATGAGATATATGATAGTGTGTCGACCTCCATATTCTTCGTTACACCCCGTTTCTACCTCTGTCTTTTCCGATGAACTCTCTCAGTTTTTAGAGAATGTTTACTGGAAACGTTCAGTCTTTCGCAACACGTTTCGGGCCCGACCCATTTATCGGGTCATACCTTAGATTTAATTATCACTCGTTCCTCAGATAATATTGTTCTTGCTTCCCCTAAAACTACTTTTCCCATCTCCGATCATTCTATTATTCAGTGTCCTATTGGTTTCTCACGACCAGCTTTGTCATGCAAAAAACTGACTTTTCGTAAACTCAAAAGTATTAATATTGCTGCGTTCTCAGCTGATTTTGCCTCTTCCATGCTTTGTGCAGGCGTACCCTGGGACAACATTGATGCACTCTCCAACTGGTTTAACAAGACCCTTATTGACATACTGGATAAGTTTAAAACAAGGACTATGATTAATCGTCCAAAGGTCTCATGGTTTAATGATGACATTAAACAACTCAAGCGTCAACGTCGTCGCCTCGAAAAGAGAGCAGTGAAAACTGACCTCCCTGGTGACTGGAATAATAACCATAAAGTTCGTAATCAGAACTCTGCATTTCTTAAATCTGCACGTGTGAATTATTATTCAAACCTAATTGATC